TTTGGTAGAAATACGGAGTACCTTGCCTGTAATCTGAGAGTGGTTTGGATATAATATTCTACCTGTTTTTCAGAGTTGTGCATGCTGAATTCAGTTATTCCTGTACCTCTTAACTGTGAGATCAGAACTCGGATCTACTGTGGTTGCAACTAACAGTTAACAGCTTTGCCGTTTTCTGACTTTCAGCACAGTGATGCCAGAAGTCCCAAGGGTAGAATGACTGGATTGTTCGCTGTGTGGCAGTGGGATTTTTGCCTTATTTTGTTTTTTAATTACCACTGCACTTTCAGCAGCTTTCTTTGTAATGAAGACAGTAAGGGTTGGCTGGTAAAGAACTAAATTGCTTAATGCACTGTTTACCTCACAGGACAGCAGAAAAGAGATTCTCTTGTTTTCATTAAAATATTGGTCCTACTCATGCTAACATGCTTGCTCTGTGATTCATTAACTTCTTGGGGAGAATGTTGCAAACGCTTCCATTTGAAACGTGCATCTTGTTCTATTTTCTGTCGGTATTCCTTTGTACGTTTAGTAACATGTCATCTCTTATTCTCTGTTGAAATCTTCTAAGCATACCAAAGTATGAAAACGAATGGGCTACTTACAAGTTTGTGATGATAGTCAGATGGGATTAATTATCCACGTGTGCAAATAGCTCATCCAATGATCTTTTTTTGTGTGTGCCATTAATAGTCATGCAATGGGCTTGTAGTGTTAAACCAATTAAAAATATTTTTAAAAACCAAGCCTTCACAGGATAAAAAATGCAGTATTTTTAAAGTTAGATCTGTATTACATTTTTGAGATCTCCTGAAAGACCTAAATCTTCATCCTACAGTGGTTTTCATTCTCTTTCTGTCTATCTTTTTCTTCTGAGAATGGAACATGGTATCTTACCAAAAGGTTAACAAAACAAAAAACAAAAAACTTTGATAAGTTGGATTTAGCAGTAAAGCTGCTTACAAGTAAAGTAAAATGAAACATCGTTATTGCTTAAGTTCATTAATAAAGTTTTCAGGGTCAGGTCAGGCTCTAATTTTCTCATCCACTTTGCACAGAAAATGAATATATGCTAATTGTATATGTTAACTATTAAATGGAAAATTTTCTGTAATTCTGAGAAAGGATTTCAGATACCTTGTAGGCAAAAAGGTGCACAAATGTTGAGCATTCTTATTATCCCATTATATACATTGTTATTTATAAATGGCTTCCCTCTAATTAGATATGTAACGTAAAATAGGTCTCACTGATATAGTAAAGACTAAAAAGTTAAAACACAGGTATTAACCAAAATCTTCTAGCCTACATTACTGATTATATACCACATGAAAGAATTTTTCATTATTTTATAGGGTTAAGATAGCTTTATGAGAAACAGTTTCAATCATTAAATGAAAATTCAGTTTCTGTTTCTAAGGACTTGCACACACCCACACCCCTTCCCAAGACTTCAGTGCAGAAAGTTTGAGGTTTGCTCCATGCTGATGAAAAGAAAAATTGCCGAAATACTAATCTTTGCAGGACAGAGAGGATACTTTGTATTTGTTAGGAAAGCTGTCGACCTAATGTGGACCATGTATAGCCTGTGAGATAGGCACATACAGCTAACATAGAAATAAAAATCTCAAGGCAAATATGCATTTTCTGCTTCAAAGTACTTCATAAACTCTGGTCAGGGCTTCCTAGCTGAAGATTGGCCAAAAATATGATAGCAAAACTATATTAAGGGAAACATCAGTCTAACATTCCAGCATAATTTACATTAAGATTAGAACACACACACATTTGGTTATTTATATGTATGGAAGCATTTATGTAAATGTATATTTGTATATAAATATACAAGTCTCTCCAAAGGGAGACTGCAAACCTGCTGTGCTAGATGCTCTGCATGTAACTAATAAGGGATAGGCAATCCCCTAAACTACTTGCTGATGGCTGAGATTTATCACAGCTCAGGAGTGTATAGTGCCTTATGTCAAGAAGACAAGTATTTTGTCACAAATTGCCTGATACTTTAATATATTAGTATCAAAACAATTTTATAAACACATTCTGCTCCAAGTATCCCTGCTTATATGCAGCACGGGAAGCCTAAATGCTTCTTAGTGACCCCATAGTAAAAGCTGACATGTCTGCCCACTGGTATTTCATACTGCCTTACTGGTTGCATTGCCACGTGGCTGAGTATCTGTGTGTATCCTGAGTATATCTCATCCTGGCAACTGGCTGTTTCTGTTCACCTCTGCAAGTCTATCTCACATGTACACTGGTCTGCTTATCACTTTCCAGACAGGCCTTTGCTCTGAAACATGACCCACGTTGAAATACAGGCCCAATTGGAAAGGTGAGCTTTACTTTATCATCTGAATTTGGCACAGGTATCCTAGTGGATGTCATGACAGATGTGGAATAATATGGTGCTCAGTTTCAATGAGGCAGTGGAGTTCTGTCCTGATAAGCGCGAATGATGGGAAAGCGTAGGAGTCTGCTGCTCGCATAACGTTCTCAGTTAAACCTCTGCTAATTGTGCCACCGTTGTACCAGGTTGCTTGTGATATGGTAAATACACTGGTCGTAAGTCACAGATCTGGGTGAAACAAGTAACCCGAAGCCAAATACAGATATAGTGGTCCTTCACTAGCTGCAGAATCACAGGCAAAAATTCAGGCTACATTTTCAAGGCATATTAAAAGATACCTTGCAATTCAACTTAATGAGCGCATGTCATATTGATCTTGCCTTTTTTTCTACCTCAAGGCTGTATTAAAATAGCCCTTACTCCCTTCTTTGCTTTGCCTATACAAGTTCAATGTGTAGCCTATGCTGTAAAAAATTGGTATTCCTTTTTATAGGGCTATAAAAATGCAAGAATGCTAGCTGTATAATATTCAACTTTGTTTGCTTGGCTTTCTTTTTCTCTCTCATTGGTCTCTTCCTCCACAAAAACATGAATCCATCTTAATTAAAAAAAAAAAAAAAGAGCTTGTATTAAAGAAAAAAATGTATTCTGCAAATAATAAACTGGGGTTGTTTTTGTGTATTCGCAGAATGGAGACAAAGAGAGGAAAGAAATCACTTCGGGAGATGCAAAATTCCTGCACAGTATTTAAGATTGAACAATACATTTTTTTAATTGCTATTTTAATTTCTCTTTGTGCATTTTTATTGTTTAAAATAATAACTTGAACTTGTTGTTATGTCAGTGCACACCAAGGTTTACAAGGTGGAGCAAAGAATAGGCAGTTGTTGGCCATTGTATAACTGGGGAACCTCAACATTAGAAAGCCGTGAATGAATTCCTGCACATTTCCAACCCTATGACACAAGCAAGAAGGGACTTTCTCAGTAAGAGCACATGCCTATTCCTACAACCCAAGAGCTGATTTATGAATATCAAATTGCTCAGCTATTGGCTGACAGTGATGAAGGATGATGAGCTTCTAAACAGTGGATGTTGATGCACTTCTCCATGCTAAGAGGAGCAGTGTTAAAAATGAGGTGAGTTTTGCACGGAGGCTGAGGATACCCTGATGTCCTGTTGCAATCAGAGCCTTACAGCACAGTCCTTTCTACTACTCCAGGCTATTGTGCAAAGCAGCGTTCCACAGTGTGAAGGTCTACCCAAAGAAAGGTACAGGAAAGGCTTCTGCTTAATTTTGTTCTCCTCTCCCATCTCAGGGTGCTTATTGTCTTGATGGTGAAGTCAGTGCACAATTTCAAATGGCTTATTACCAATCTATTTTATTCTTTGATGCAGAGATCACTGTTTATCCATGCTGAGTGACAGTATTTGACTTCAGAAAGAAATGAGACTGTGGAATGGTAAAGGAGACTGATGGAAATTTTATTTTAACCCTCTCACCAATCTTCAGCACTCTGTCACATTCCAGGAGGAATGTCATACCACAATGTGCTGTGGGTGACTGGGTTGCAGGCCACCTTTTCCCAACAAATGATGATATTCTGTTGGGCTACCAGAGTATGAGGCAGTAAGAATTCAGTATACAATCACTGTGCAATCCATGTGAATTACTTTTTACTGGAAGCTGAAATTGCAAATATTTTCTCAGATGAAAGGAAGGAAAGATGGTGAAAAAGAAGTATTAGTATCCCTATATCCTAGGGAGATGAAGCACAGAAATATTAAAGGTTCAGTTTTAGACAGGTTAGAGCCTGAGATTGCAGGGGAAGAAAGTTAAGATGCATGTTCCTCTTCCCCCAGCTCCCCCAACTTTACATAGAAGCAGCTGCATGGAAGTATTTTAATTGGAGACTCTAAGGAGAGTCAGAGTGAATTAGAAATGGAGTCCATGCAGTCTTTGAGAACGAGATCATCCTTTCAGGTTAATTTAACTGCCTGAATTCACAGCTTTATCCCTTATTGTTGCTATTCTCATCTCTTTTCTTTTTTTCTCTGTGCTGCTTTAACTTATTATGCCATATCTAAAATTTGTTCACATTTGCAGCAAAGGCCATGTGTTCTGTGAACTTTCTATCTGAATCCTGGCCATGGTAGACAAACCTATCATGGAACAAATCCACATAAGTAAGACTTATCTTTTTTTGTTCATGGCTTAGAATAGTAGTTGCTGGCAATTTTAAATATTCATAGGAAAAGAAAATGCCACATTATCCTTATGTAATAGTAGTTGCAATGCACATTCTTAGAAATCCATTAGATTTGTAGACACTGTGGTAATATTACCAGATACTGCTGTGCTTTTTTAGAAAAGAGCATGCTTTCAGCATATAAGACCTGCCAAGAGACAGGATAAGGACAAATTTAAGGAGCTAATAAGTAGTAGCAATATTTCCTTTTTGTTATATAAGAGTTATTCTTACTAAAAGGAGTCAAATGTTGCAAATGTGCCTATGTATATCTCTTTTAAAAACTGTATAAAGCTAGACTTAGCAACAAAATGTCCCATCTGTGTGATCCTCTGTAACATCACATTTGGAAGCTATTTATCTGTTGCATTTGCAGGAAGATGGACTCTGAGGGTAACAGTGTCTGGAAATTCTGCTTGCTTTCCAAAAAGCGAGGAATGAACTCTGGGTTTAGCCATTGCCTGTCTGCTCAGGGTTGAGGAACAAGAAGGGTGTGGAGACTGAATGCCTGGTCAGGCACTCAGAGGAAACATAGGAAACCATAAAACTGCCAGAGCTGGAAGTGAGACCTTTTCCTTGAAGGTATGGTTTTGCAGCCCATTGCTTTTGGGGAAAGTTTTCAATTTCCTTCCCTTTATGAAAAGACATTTTGTTTTTCTCTTTGTGACTATGTGCACTAAAGCTTTGAGGAGGATTATTTATTTACAAAAAATGATCTTTGATGGTTATATCACCTACTTGTTCACAGTTAACATTTCTTTCAACTTAATTTCACAAGCTCATAGGAACTTAAAAATAATACAATTCTTATATAAGAGGAGCTCTTGTACTATGCTATGCTTACTGTAGGATAGTAGCATTTAAGATACCTATATAAATCATCTAATCTTAGAACTCTGGTAATATTTAAGAAATATGCATCATGAAGTGCTGTGTGTTGATCTCTCTTCTCTTTCTTAAACACATACCTGTTCTTTTATATCTGTTTCACGTTTACATCCAGTGCACATGATGTTGCTCAGCTACAAAACACTTAGAAAACATTTGTGTTATACAGGTATTCTGTTCTATGACTTTTGCCAAGATTCATTTATTGGATGCCATATTTTCATTTACATTTTTGTTATAGCGGTGTATTACAATAGTTACGATTTTCTATGAAGCAACTAATGTACAAAATAGTCAAACACAGAGCAGTAATTAGTCTGGGAAAGATCAAAGCATGCTCTTTTCGATGTGGATGAGCAAAACCAACAGTCTTTCTTTTGCCCTGGTTTCTTATAAATTTTCACTGTTATTTGTTGCAGAGCAGCTGCTTTCCTGTCAATCCAGTGCACTACTAAAAAAATATCCATTTTGTTGCCACAAATACAATTTCAATGAGTTTAGCAATAATAACTACTTTTTATTTAACCCTTCTTTTCTGAAAATGGCTTACAAGAGGAAGAAATTCTTTGTGCACCAGTTCTTTGAGCAAAAGAATTTTAGACTACATTATAGAAAGAAGTGTTATATAAAGTTAGTACCACATACTGAGATGTGAGTTGGTGTGTTTTTTGGTTTTTTTGCGCTGAGTGACAGAAATTGTGTGATTAAAAAAAAAAAACCTACAGCCAAATACTCTGGCAAAAAGTTGCTGAGGTGCAATGGTAGTATTTATAGCCCCTCATTAGTGCTGTCAGCAGAGAGATTTCTTCCTTAATGCACCCTGCTGTACTAGATGATCTCTTGAAATCTATTTCAGCCTTACATTTTTATGATTTCATGGCAATAGCTCACTGTTTTGGCTAGTATTCAAGGTTCTGTTCTCTCTCCTTTCTCTGCCCTGTTTTCTCAAGTGGCTAGGACAAGAAAGAGGTTTGATTCAGGTTCCTTGCTCTTAAAAGCTCAGGCTACTACTGCATCCTGTAAGAAGGGAAAAGGTTGGGAGCATGTTTGTGTTTCAGTATGAGGTAGATGGAGTGTGAGATGGCAGAAAAGGAAATCCTCACAGAGCAGGAGGAAAAAAGGTAAGCCTACTCCCCTCCAAGAACCACAGGAGGGAATGGCTAAAGCAAGTTTACACACTGGGGTGAAAGATAGCAGAGAAGCTCCAGAAAAGATTAGGATTAAGGGGAATAAGAAGAAAGAGAGAGTCATACTGACATCATGACCTGTGAATAGCATATGATAGCTGTATGATAGCATTTCTTTCTTTTTAATGGTTCTGTGCCTGCCAGCCTGGTGAAGAGTATTTTTATAGTCACCTCTATGGAGGCGGGAGAAGGGAGGTGGGGGCAGGCTTCTCTACAGCTTTAGGCAAGGATCTCCACTATCAGATGCTGTTCTGAATTATGACCCCTGTAGAGTCGTCCCACTCTTTGGTTTTATGTGAACATCTGGTAGATTATAGCAGAAGTAAAGGGCTGTCTGTCTTCGCCTGGCTGAGAATTGGGTAGAAGGTTTACTAAATTAAGGAAAAGAGGCAGTGCTTGCTTTCTCCTAGCACCAGTGGAAGAACTAATATTCACTCCCAATTTTAACTCTTGCGGCACTGAATAACTGGAGTCAAATACTTCCATCTGTAACAGTTCACACTAGTTCTGTATGCTGAAAGTACTAACAGTTCTCATAGTTACCTAAAAATGTGGATGACCCCCTCTTGTCATCACATCTTCCCCACAGAGATTTGTGATTGTTTAAGAGTACACACATTTTCTTAACTATTTTTCATCTATGATATAAATCCAGATACATTTTTTTTCTATAAGTTACCTGTAGGCACTCTCTTGTAACAATTTTTGTTCATTTATTTGCATTACAGAATAGTCAAGAATGTGCACAGCCCTGATCAGACTGGAAAGCTGCACTGGCCTGTGCTGATGGGACAACTGTATCTATCTTACAATCTGCAGTAAGTGTCTGTCCTGTAACGCTAAAATGTTGTGTGCTGCGAACACTGCAAAGCTTAAGCAGAGTTTGGGCATTTGCCTTATATTTATATATTTTGCATCAGATACACACATTGTAGTAAAATAGGATTCTTGAGCAATCAAATATTAGGATAGTGATTATTGCCTCATTTAGCACACAATGTAGACAAGCTAATTGTGGATTCTTATGGAATGCCTATTGCCTGCAAACACAGCCAATGGAAATGCGTGTCGTCACAAATGTTGTAATTTACACTGCTTTAGTGGGCATAGCAGTTGTCATTTTGAACATAGGAGCAACCTATTTGATTTTAAGTTTTAAATTACGAGACAATTGTAAAGACACTTAATTCAGATAGCTGTAATGCAATTTTCTTAGCATGCTGTGAAGGCCTTAAAAACATCTTTGAAAAGAAACCCTTATGCTGTTTTCTCATTAAAGAAGGAGAACTCTTTCTTCTCTACTCTTGTTCTCTTCTTTGAAGCGACAATGTCTGAGATCTATATAAAGCTGAAATATTGTGTATGATTATCACCATGATACTAGGTGGTTGACGTACTGATTATAGAATTTGTAAGGCACAGAATTTTTATTAGACAGTGATAAATATCACACCGTGAAGAACTGAAGCTGCTACTTCCCATTTAAAATGGAGCCATGTGTTAAGCCAACCTTAATATTAGACATCTAGATATTGTTTGCTTTTTCATTGGATTAGAGAAATAAATATTGATCTTTTCCTCCCTTCTTTTCATGGTACCAACTTGTATTTTAGAAGATGTTCCTGTTCTGTATTTGGATCTGTACATACACATATAGCATGAAAAAGCATTGAAAGGAATTTTTTTTTTTTTTAGTTAAAGACTTTGCTTTAATCAAAGGGATTATTCCTCTGAGTATATATAGGCAGGTATGTAAGTGTGTTTGTAGGCATGAGACCTTAAATGTACAAACTTGCAGTCCTTATTATATGTTCTGGTACCAGAAAACAGTGAGAACTCCTGGGTAAATTAGAAGGAATGATCAGCATTTTAAGTCCTGACATTATTAAAAAGGAAGAAAAAAAAAGGCCAGTTATTAATTGTGATTTTTAGGAAGGTTTGGTTTTTTTTATTCTAAGATATTATCTTTATTCTACGATAGTTTGGCATTTTCTTTGAGAACAGGAGTTTTGTAATAAGAGTTACTGTGCCACCTGGGTACCATAGCCTACCTATCAGTCCTCTGGGAGGAGGCACCAAATTCCTGTCTGCAGTGCAGGCAGCAAAGTGGAGGTGTTACTTTCAGATGTAGAGAACTTGAGATGTGGAGGGAGAAAGCTAGCTGTGAAATTATTGTGGCTTGGGTTTTGGGCCTTCATTTTTGTGTATGTTTATAAAGGCAGCAAAGATTTAGTCATGCAAACCCGCAGGAGTTTCTTTCCCAAATTTCACAATTTAAAGTTCCACAGAGATCTGCTGAATTTTTTTTTGATCTTCTTAACCTTTAAGGTCATATTCATACCAAATAAAAGAAGAGGAAAATAATGAAAAGCAGATGATTCTGTGCTAACTGAAAACAGCTTTTGCTTGAGGCAAATTAGTTTGAAAAAGGTTTTAATGGAGAAATTATTTTTCCCCCTGTGTTATTCTAGTAGAATCTTTTGGAATATCCTTCTGAAATTGTGCAGCAACATTTAAAATGAAAATATGAAAAAAGTTTTGTTCTCCTGAAATGCAAATCTCTAAGCAGTTCTAATTGCAATGAAAGTTTTTTTTACAAAATGCAAAATGAAGATAAACACGCTTTCAAGGGTTCCTGAAGTCTGCACATTAGAACTTTGCTTAGACAAAGTTTTGTATGCTATACTCAGTGGCATACACTTAGTAACAATTAGTACACAATTAGGTACCAGTGAAAACGTTTATTTTATCAGAAGATTCTTTTGCTTTGTCTTCCTTTTTCGAAAGCTCAGAGAAAGATAGTCAATATGCATAAAGATACACTACTCCATAAAGCTTTGTGAAAAGGGTCATGGAAACCCTTATGTGTACCTGATGCAATAATGAATTGAATGGGTAGATGTCTATGTAGAGCTCATTTGTGTCTTAGGGTTGTTCTTCTGTATTTTTGCAGAATCTAAGGAAAAAGATCTTTTTTCGGTGGAGCTGTCCTATTGTTTTAAATGAATAGTCCTAGATCCCTGATCTAGGCTGATTTAATGATACATTATCACTGTACATTACAAAGTTTTTTTGCTTTTTTTAAATATACTACCAGGCTGAATTTGGAATATCTGAATTATGCAGAGGTAGATTAGAGAAATAGTAAATAATGCAAATCATATCCATACAGTTATTATTAAATTCTTAAGTCAATGTTTATATTGACATCGTGTATATATGGTAATGGATAAGAAAGAAGAGCAGCTTGGTGGGGAGGAATCCTCTGACAGTAAATCTATGTGCCAGACCCCATGATACCACTAGAAAAAAAAAACTGTAACTCATAAATCTTAGCTCTCTCCATCAATTATATTTGTCATTAAAGTGGATTTTCTTTGCATTGAAGAGAAGGAATGTTAAGTCTGTTGTTTGTGCAGGACTGACAGTTGCCTACTTCATGTTTCTGGCACGTGATTTTGCTCCGTCTATATTCAAAGTAAAGGTGTCCCCTGCTGGGAAGCAGTGGATTCAGCTAATTGACAAAGTCAGGATAAGAGGGCTTTTTTCCCCCTGGCTGGACTGCCAGGGACTACTGGCATTTTTTCCTCTTGCCTTTATAACATGAGGCTCAACTATCTTCCTGAAATCATCTGGGAATTGTATTCATCCAGTTCCCTGCGGCATAAAGGCCTAGAATACTGGTGTTGTTTCTTCTGCCTCTTTCCGTGACTTGTTATAGCTGTGGTTTTTGGTTTCAGGTTAGTTACAGAGTGCAGGAAAGCATTCTGATGAGAGGTCTGTGGCCGTGGTCTGTGGACAGCCCTGAATGATTGATTGCCTGTGACTGTTGTAACCACTTGTAGGAAGAGTCCTATCTTAGCCTGTTTAAGTGTTGGGATTTCTCCTGACAATGGATTTTTTTTATTGTTTTCTATTTTCTCCCCTTCTGTCTCACATGAATGATTTGAAAAGGAATTCAGATTTTCAGGCCTGACAGAGAGGAAGGTCTCCATCTTGATCAGCAGTAACATTTTGTGAAGATGACTTCCCTTGTGCCACACATTTACCACCTACAGCAGTAACTCTATTGCAGTGGAACAGCAGTGGAAACCTATTGCAAAAATTATGATTAGAGCAAGAACCTGTGGCACTTTTTTGCCTGAGATGTGCTTTGCAAGTTTACTTTATATAGGCATTGCATTCAAAATTATGAGCCCTGTTTTTTTGATGCCGTATTTTTTCCCAAAGCATTAGAAGTGAACGTTGTAGTCGAGTGAGAAGAAAAGATGTTGTGTAGTGAGATCAAGTATATTTTCATTTAAAATAAGTCAAAATAACTTAATAGGTACTCTAAGAATTAATGAAAGGGTATAATAATGTGTCCAGTATTGTTCTGAATACCGAAACTGTTCCCTTTCTTGGTTGAAAAGTCCATTCACACAGCTCAGGAAAAAACTAAAGAAAACTATTTATGTGTACTTTAAAAACTAAGATTTCTGCTTTACAAAAAATGAGACTTTAACACTGTCTACAGTTGCTGTGAATAGTAAAAGAAATGGAAAACAAAAAAGGCCTTTGGAGCTCAGTTCAAGGGGGTCTGACACACTACAAGAGAGCCACATGACATCTGCACATTTTTCTGTACGTTAGTACTGGAAAGAGGATAGAATTACCAGGAAATGTTGCCCTGTGATTTCTGTATTGAAGTGGCTGCATCTGTGCCACCTGTTGATGACATGATTGGAGCATTAGTTCTTGCTCTGCCTTAGCACTATTGATAACTCTGCTTAACATCACCACAGGGGAGGCTTTGTTGGAGGCTGCAGTCACTTTGCCTGAGCAATGGTGTACATTGGCTCTTCCATTCAACTCTTTTTTCTGACATTAGCACATTTGAATGGGCCACCAGTGAAGCCATTCAGTGAGAACATGCACCAGGGCTTCTGGGTGGCCTGGGGCTGAGCTGAGAACTCTTGTTAATGGACTGCAAGTCGCCGCCTATTGAGGTCCATGAACTCAGTGACCAAAGAAAAGTGAGACAAAGATGTCCCTCATCGGAACATGTAGGTCAGACCCAGACAAAGGCAGACATTGACCAGGCAAACCTATTTGATTACTGAACTGAAAAGGGGGATACCTATTACAATGGGAATGCTGTTCCTGCCTAGTTCTGTACTGAAATGTGCATGCTGTGGCATTTACCTGTATGTTCTGAAGTACATCTACTGTGTAGCCCTGAAGACTTTGCTGATCCTTTGTTCTAACCATGACTGGATTTACATTCTGTTTAAGCTTACAATTGATATAACAATCTTGAAAACGTCAATAGAATCCTATTATAGGCATATATCTATATCTATATCATCTATATCTAAGTGAATAAGGTATATATGTAGACATATACATGAAAAATAAGTGGCAGCTACTCTTGAATTAAGTGCAGAATTAAACTGTCATCTGACTGTTATGCCTATTTTTGATACAGGTAACAATCTTTTTCAAGCATTGAAAAAAACTGGTGAATTTAAGGTAGAAGTGGCAGACATTCTATGTTGCATCACTATCTGAAATAACAAATACATTCTGCAGTAAAATCACATTTGGTTGAAGGAGGATTTTGATTGTATTTTACCAGTGGTTGCAAAATCTCTCTCCTGTGTTTGATTTTGCTTTGTGTTTGGTTAGTTCCTGCTGGAACTAACCTTGTTTACAATCATTAAAACTGCTCTGTTCAAAGTCGGAGGCGGTCACCAGGTAGCAAGAACTTTTGTTCTCAAAGTTAAGGAAAAAGGGAGGCGGGGTGGGAGGAAGAACATTCTGCTGGCTCTACATGAGCTCTTTACTAGGCTACAGCTAAGGCGGGCTGATTTGGAGCAGTGGCTTAAAAGCCCTTGGTTGACTTTGAATAGGGACACTATGCAAGACTACCCCTCTCCCTGCATCTTTGTGTGCTCTCCCTGGAGTTCTTTAGCCAAGAGATTAGGTTTTTCCTTGAAGATTAACAGTAGAGCTGTCAGAAACATTCTTAACCCCAAGTACCTGCTGTGAGCTCAGTTATCAAATTGATAACTCGTAGCTCATTTGATGAACTGATGGGGTTATGCCTCTATTTTTTTTATCTGCATGGGTCCTTGCTTTCAACCTTGTGAAAATATCACTCCAAAAATTGTAGTAGTATTAATATCCCTGCAGCCATGCATGTGAGACTTTACCTTATATTCCCTGCACTTCATTCTCCACTTGCTTCAGGAAGAACCCTGAGGACCGAGTTATCTGGTACCTAGAAGATGTATACTTGCTCTGTAATCAGTCTCCCATAGGTCTAACCATGCTTCTTCTAGATCGCTTTGCCTGTCTTCAAACTGCATGTGTATTTCCTTCTGTTGCTGAAACCTCACAAGCTTTCAGCTTGTTATAAATAAATTTCTGTTGTGACTGAAATGAAGGACAGAATAGAAATGAGTCATTTTTTCCTTGATATTATGATACAGTACAGGAAATATTCTGTATTATTCTGTATCAGGTTTTTTTGTGTGTTTTACCAAAATTAAAACAAAGTGGATCTAGCCTCTATCTAGCCTATTTCTCAGAGTGGAAACAGGTAGCATGTGGATGTAGAGATGGGGAGACTAAACAAAGCAGCATCAGTTATTTGAAAAATAACGTTTGCATTTTAATTCCACACTTTTAAATACAGACTGAGGCTTCAAGACTGTAAGACATCCAGTTGAAAGAGACATGTGGAGTGCATTTCACAAAGAAAGAACATGAAGGAAGCAGCAGGAAAAAGTCCTGGGGAATGGTCAGTTGGGTTAAAAAGATGAGGAGGAGAAAAGGGGACCAGAATAAAGAAAGGGGGGGAGCTAGGTAAGACGGTGCCCCGGAAAGGAGGGGGATGCTTGAGATTGGTTTGCTTAGTCAAATAAGGTTAGAAGGGTTTAAAAAACCAAATAGATTTACAGTGGCAGGCAAGATGGATCCAGGGAGTCGGCTGTGAGTGTTTGAACCCAGAGTTACTGCTTCTTAGGCCCTTTTTTTCCTTTTCTTTTTGTTTTTGTTTTTTTTAGTGATAACACTATTTTCACTGTTACACAATCTTCTGTGACTTTGTATATCTCTTGGTTTCATTGCAGTTGTGACAATCTGCAGCATCTTCAAAACTAAGCAAGAGCTGAGGCAGCTAGAGAGGATTTGGAAGAATGAGTTGGAAGACTTATTTACCTTGGTACATTTTTGGCAGCCACCAAGCTACTACATACAATTAGTTCTCTCGTGTTATTTACTTTAAAGTAAGGACAAAAACCAGTACATAAAGATATGTGATTCTGTATGAGCATATAATAAATATCCAAATTTATTTTTATGACTGTAAATATATTGGAAACTTCAGATATACAATAGCAGAAAGCATAAAACACTGCACCTAGCTATTGCATGCAGATATAAATTTCAGCTGTAGCAGTAAAGAAAATGATCAGTTTCCCTAATGTGGCTGTTGAAGCCTATGATAGATCAGAACTAACCAGATCAGAGCTATCTGGGCCTAGGGCAAAGCAAGGTTGCACGATTTTGCTGCTAATATTAAAAATGAGAACATTGTTAACAGAAACAATCAATCCAGTCTCTGGGGGGCAGCACGCTACCACCTCCCGTGTCTGAATACAGCGGCCACTGTAACTTTGCACATCACCTTAGAAGAATAATTGCTTGTACAGCTAAGTCTTCAGATAACTTGCTTTTGATTTCACCGTTTTCCTTCAATAAATACCTTGTATTTATTTTTATACACTGATTATAGGACTATGTTACTTAAAATGACACGACTCTGCAACCGTTACCAGTTCTATGCATGTTCAGCAATATCAGTCTAATTTTTCTTTTATGCTTGTTCAAATACTCTTGCCTCCTGTGGTTACCCTCTAGTATAAAATTTGATAAAATTACCTTGATCAAAAATGGTTCTGGTCATTTTTCCTCTACTTCCTTCCAGATTGTTTCCAATACTGTAAAGGGTCCTGACATGTGGAAAAGCAGTCCTTTAGAAAGGATGCTTTTTTTTTTTTTCTCCTTTCTTTCTTTCTTTCCCTCTTCTACTTGCCAAGTGGCTTCTGTATTGGATGTTATGGGATCTTTTGTGCACCCATTATTAGAATCTCAGAGAGGCAGCTTATCTGCTTGACATCCCAAGATGATAATCACCCACAAAACCAATTAGAATCAAATGGATCTATGGAGTTCCCAGCATATTTGATTCAGTGGTGATATCAGTAATCAAATATTGCGCAACGAATAAGGGATAATCCAGAGGTTAATTTAAGTCATAATTTTCTTATGTCATCAACAGGCTTTAAAAATGTGTGCTATAGCTGAAAATGAGAACAGGAGAGTAAAGAACATAATTCCTTTTTAACCTTCAGTAAATTCTAAGGTAAAAATGCCTGCTAAAAAGTAGCAAACAGCACTTTCTTCCTAGCTAGAAAGTGTTTGTACATTTCTCAAATGTTAATTTTGGTTCTCAAAGGTGATAATTAGCATATGTGTGTGCCCTCTTTAAATGGATTGATAGTTTATATATCCAATCGAAGGATTGGATCCTTCCTTGGATTGGATCCAAGGAAAAGCTGTAAAAATTTCCAGTGGAATTTGATGAATTGGTTTTGGCTGAATGCAAATTTCAAGGTGATAGGTACCATTCACAAAAACAGCAAGGAGGAAACATCCTAATCTATTTGTGATTGGTAACCAAGACTGCTGCCAAGAATGTATAAATCTACATTCAGATCTCCTTGCTGTTTGTTGGGAAGGCGGTTGGAGCCCAAGTCTCCTGCCTCCTAGTAGAATACAAGCAGGTTGAAAATGTGCTTTTTAGAATACAAATCCATGTCTTGCTTAAGCTTGATTTTTATGCATGTTATAAAGTATTTCAAATACATATTGAGCATAAAAGAAAGATTGGCAGTTAAATCACAGTTCTGGGAGACCTGTCTTTCAGTCCCTATTCCTGGATATGTAAGTTTTTTAATCTGAAGCAAAGTGGCTCCAGCTGGAATGACCAGAGCACCCAATAGGTTGTTTGGGGACTTCTTTAAGGGACTCCTTTTTTGAGATGGATAAACCTTAGTTTTAAAGCTGTGCATTGAATCATGTAGAGAAGCTGAATCCTGAGCTTTAGTGTGACTATCCTAATCACTGATAAAACAAGAAGCACTACCATGATCCTCTTTTCAGGGTTCTGGAACACTTAAAAACATTGGCTGTAATCCAAAACATGCATACAAATTAAAAAGTGTATTTGAGTACAGGGTGATAGATATACAAATACATGCTTAATTTTTCAAATTGATGCTGAATGAGCTATTAGTCTTACTGGCAACTATGATGTTGTCTAAACTATTGAAAACAAAAGGAAATGGATGAGAAAATGCTGACACTTGATTCAACATTTCTAGACCCAGAGGGATGCTTCCTTGGAATGTTAGATTACTTGCATAAGTTTGTGAAGGACACTGCTCATTATCAGAATGTGGGAAAGATGAGAAAGAGGCAGAAGACACTCATTTTGAACATGCAAAAGAACAGTTATTTGCATAGCATTTTATTAAAGCTTTGGAAATCAGTAGAATAGCATGTAATTTAGGCAAACAGTATGACATGGTTGAGTAAGACCTTAATTTTATGTCCAACAGTAACTTTAAGTTCTGCAAGCTGAAATCACATTAAAAGGGTTAATTTATAATGCATAATCCAGGAAAACAGACAGTGAATCTTCTTAACTAACAGCTAAGATAGAGAGACTGTTAGTGCCACTAGCTAAGATATATTCCTCTGTACAATACTCAGCCCTAGTACTAATACAGCGCATGTCTCACAGATGTCCAAATCCTGATAGTTTTTCTTCAGTATCTTCAAATCTGTCATTTTCAATAGAGACCTCTTTCTCTTTAAACAACTGCATCCTCCTCCTCCCTCGCTTCCTGGATACATAACTGTGTCCCTGTAGTCTATACAAAGTTCTCTGAAGTCATCTTTGCATCAGTTTAATATGTCACTATGCCCTCTGAGTTCTTTACAGGGTTTATCGTGTCTTGGACGCTTGGAAGCGCCTGATACACTAATGTAATAATTTATGTGAAAATACGACTCAGCTGTTGGCTAGAATTATGCATATCCTGCCATTTGTGTATGAAATACAGAAGAAGTTGTGTAGAAAATGTCTGCAGCATAACCATTTAATATGCTACATTGACTTCCGTTTTGTTCAAGAAGAAAAGTCCCTCTTTGATATATGGAAACTGCAGAGAAAATAGGACGGATCCAGAGAAGTATTATTTTCTAAAAATAAAAAACTGGGTCTTCTAAAGAGTTTTGCATCTTTGCTTTGAATGACTGTAGGAACAGCCCTCCTGTTATGAGGGCAAGAAAGCATAGGAAAATGAAATGTGCTTTTAAAAGTGGATTTTTATATAGGAGCACAAACACTAAAATTTCTAACCTTAGAATCATTAAAACATTTCTAGTTGTGTCAGTTTTCAGTTTCTCATTGTTTACTCTAATGTCTACTGTCAGACTTTTAAGAATAAATTCTCTGAAGGCTACACTAAAAATATAAGCTTCAGTATAGCTCCATGGAACAGCTGCAGGCCTCTTAACTTGGCCTTGACAACCATGTTGCCCTACATGGTTATTATGACCTGGTGTAACTCCAGGCCAGTATGTAAGGCCCTTAAATATGGGGAAGAAAGCATTCAAAGATATCTTAAATATCTTCATATATTTGGATTTATGTGAAGTGTGACTTATATTCTATCTTTCCAAGGGTTTATAAAGCCTGATTTTTTTTCTTTTTTCTGAAATGATTGCAACAGCCCTTTAACGGTTTTACCACAAGTCATTACTGCATACTGTTAACTTCAACTCCGTCTTCATGTAATTTTTATCTGGCAAGAAAAGCTGGACTTTGTTGTTGGGTTTCAGAGGAAGATCTAATGCATGTAGATTTACTTATTAGAGAATTTTCAATGTTAAGTCCTACATTTAAACATAACAAGCAAGTGAGGACTAACACAGTAGAAACGAGACTTTTAAAAATATAGAACATGACATCTGTATGTTGTTCTGCACAGGTCTTTTTGAGTATAAAACTGTTTTTATCCAGGAGTAATTTTTACACATCTGGTATATGGTTATAAACCAAGACTTCATCTTTGAAGGCATGGTGAGAGAGGACTTAGTATTGAGAGAGGAGACATATGGGAAAGAAGATATTTGTAGAGTATAGGCGAGGGAAGAAGGATGAATAAGGTGGAAAAGCTACACTACTGCTGTGTGGGGACACACTATGTCTAGAGAGGGTTAAGGAGGAGAGACAGGTGGCTGACTACTTGGGGAGCAATAGATCAACAGATTGTAGTCAGTATTGCAGGTAATTCAGAGGGAGGGAGGTATCTTGGAAAAAAGTGTGTCATGTGAGGGTCAGTTGTGGGAGTGGCCAATGACCACAGTGCTGAAAACAGAGCAAGCAAGTAAAAATTCCAGAAAACCAAAAAACAACTTGGTTAACCCCTAGCTAGTTTGATTTCAGCTTAGAATGAAAGCTTGGCTTCTAGGTCCACGTTTGGAAGTGCTAGTCATTAAGAGATGAGTATAACAGTCAGGGGCAGCTCTGTAGAATTTATTAGTCCTGTTTAATATTGCATGCACTGTGTCAGACTAAAAACTTTATTTTAAACAGGGGGATTGGTTGCCTTCCGTACTGTATTGATACAGCATGGCAGAAGAAATTTTTCTCCTAATTAGAACCCAAAGCAGCAGACTGCCTGATGGAAGGCTCATTGTCTGACAAGACTTCTACAGCTTCCTTTATCAGATGCCCCTCACAGGTAAAACATAAGCCCAGGGTGCCCATGTCCACAAGTTTGAACTCTGGGAAAGGTGCCTCTAACCATTTAGAGGGGCCTAGAGGGAACTGGTGCTTCACGTTTCAGTGCAGAGGTAAGAGACAGCGATCAGTTTGCACCAGGTGAGCTGGACAGACCAAGTAACAAAATGAAATGCATTCTATTTGGCATCAGGTTAAGGGTACGTCTTTCTTCTGCATCAGATATGAACCCAAGACCATGCCTGAATTCAAAGTTGCCAGTCACAATATACAGGTGAAAATCTGGGTTCATACATGAGCTTGAGATAGGCTTCCAAGGGGCAATATAA